TTCTCTTCTTTTAAACTTGGTGGTCTGTCATAAGCATTTGCCAGGACAGTATCTTTCAAGCTTTGGGTGCGTCGTGAGGATAAGTCAATTTCTTGGCACTCGTCTTCAAAATTCACTATATAAAATACTTTGTTAGGACTTTCCTTCTCAACTTTGAATTCCTGAATGTCGTTCCATATTACCTTCCGGGTTTTTATAACTCCTAGTAAATTTTTGTCCGAACTTGTTTGCAATTTCCTTAAAGTCAAAAAATTCTTCTACAGCCAGCTCCAATGGTGGCCATTGGGAGGGAACAAAAACTGGTCCCGTTTTTAATCCTTCCTTTTTTTGCCTTTCTATGAGAGAGTGCATGGAGTCTCCTTCATTTTGGGTATGGCCTACCGCCAGGAATTTATGTAAACTCCTGCTCATTTCAGTGTTACCCACTGCGTATAAGTACATCGAAACAACTATTTTATTTTTGTTTTGCCCTACTCAATTATCGGAGTAGAAAATGATATCTGTTCAAGAGGGTAAACTAGAAATATAGTCGAAAAGACCTGTTGCTATCTCATCAGCTCCTCGGGAGGCAATGGCTTATCGTTCCAAAAATAACACACCACGCAATTTCAAAAATTGTAAAGTTGAAGCAATTCAATCTGCACTTGTAATGAAAAGCAGAAACGCCTCCACAGGGTGTTGGCAATACTGCTTGGAGGTCAAAACCAGCCACAATAACTTTTGGATTTTACTTAGCAACGGCTGTGTCTAGCTTTTTCTTCACGACTTTTTATTTTATTTACAATATGCCCATTATAGTTTTCTTGGATTTTTGCTTTTTTCTCCGGGTTCGAGTTTTTATACAGTGTCTTTCAAAAGTATCGGAACGGTCTCATATTTCAGGAACGGCTTGGGAAAAGTTCACGGAATTTTCTACAGGGTGATTATTGATGATGTCCGATTGAATGGTGGCATCGGCAATGTTGCCAAGTTTACAGTTTTTCAGATATTAGGAGTACCTTGATTTTTTCGAATGGAATACCCTATTTATTTTTATTGCAATTAATCGAGCGCCTCCTGATCACTTGAGTCCCTGAATATCAGATTCGTAATTAGAGTGATTTTCGAAATATGACAACATAGCATTTTCGTTAAAAAGTTCTGGAACGGTCCCATATTTCAGAAACGGCTCAGAGAAAATTTATGAAAACTTCGACGGGATGGTTGTTGATGATGCCCGATTCAATGGTGATATCGGCAATGTTGCCAAATCAACAGTTTTTCAGATATTCAGGGTAACTCAACTTTTTCAATTGGAATACCCTATTTGTTTTCATTGCAATACATTCAGCGACGCCTTATTACTTATGTCTCCAAATATCAGATTTTTAATTGCAGTGGTTTTCGAAATATGACAACATGGCAATTTCGTTCAAAAGTCTGGGAACCTTCTAATATTTTCAATACGGTTCATATTTTCGCGTGCCCTTTTGAAAATATTGGAGCGTTCGCGGACATTTCAACGAAGCATGTTCTCATATTCAAAAAACCACACTTATTTAAAATTTGATATTTGAAGACATAAGTAATGAGGGGGAGCTGAATTGATTGCAACGAAAATAAATAGGGTTTTCCATTTGAAAAAATTTAATTACCCTCAATATCTGAAAAACTATTGATTTGGCAACATTGCCGAAATCACCATTGAATCGGGCATTATCAGAAACCATCTTGTATAAAATTTCATGAATTTTCCTTGAACCGTATTGAAAATATTAGAAGGTTCCCAGACTTTTGAACGAAAATGCCATGTTGTCATATTTCGAAAACCACTTCAATTTAAAATCTGATATTTGGAGACATAAGTAATGAGGCGTCGCTGAATGTATTGCAATGAAAACAAATAGGGTATTCCATTTGAAAAAATTGAGTTACCCTAAATATCTGGAAAACTGTTGATTTGGCAAAACCATCCTGTCGAAGTTTTCATAAATTTTCTCTGAGCCGTTTCTGAAATATGGGACCGTTCCAGAACTATTCAACGAAAATGCTATGTTGTCATATTTCGGATATCACGTTAATTACGAATCTAATATTCAGGGACTCAAGTAATTAGGAGACGCTCAATTAATTGCAATAAAAATAAATGGGGTATTCCATATGAAAAAATAAAGTTACTCCTAATATCTGAAAAACTGTAAACTTGGCAACATTGCCGATGCCACCATTGAATCGGACATCATCAATTATCACCCTGTAGAGAATTTCGTGAATTTTTCTCAAGCCGTTCCTGAAATATGAGACCGTTCCGATACTTTTGAAAGACACTGTATGTTTCGCAAATTGAACATTGATCTTTCTTAGGTTGATAAAAATATATGTTAAACTCTCTGTTGAACTCTTGCCGTTGTTGTTTATAATATCTGTTCATTTGAGCCAGGGCTAGGGATTCATCTATTAATTTCCTAGTTGTATTTGCTCTAAGATAATGGAATTCGATAGCCGGAAAACTATTGATATGGTCTCTTATTGAATCTTTCAAGCTATCATCTAGTGTCTTGTGTCCATTGTGGTTGCCCCTCTCATCATTCTTCAATATATTACATTATTTAGCTTTAGCCCAAGTTGTTCTCAAGCACCTTTCTCCGACACTCAACGTGTTCATAAAGAATAATTTACAAACTCTCCTTTTTTCTCCGTTTATAGTGAAAAAATAGCCACTATTTCCCCCCCCCCCTTGTACTTCCTTCAGTTACACGTCTGTATTTAGGCTTCAACAATTCCATGTGAAAAGCAGCAAACTGCCTCTGGAGAAAGTTATCGAATATGGTTTCACGCATTGTTTTCTCAATGGTAATAGTTATTTATATATCAAGGGAGGAAAGGTATCCATTTCCTCCCGCGTGTTGAAGTTTGTTGGACGACGCGTAGCGGAGGGCATTAAACACACATGGAAAATGTAAAACACACATGGGAAATGGAAATGTAAATGTAAGGTGGATCAGGTACAGTTCTGGTGATGTACTGATGATCAATGATATCAGTATCTCCAGTCTCTGGCCATATGAAATAGCGAGTGTTAGTCTTTCTTCTAAGAAACTTTTAATGTATTTCCAGTATCGCTAATACTTATTATCTGACCGATATATTTTTTTTTAACTCAAAGATTCATAGGTTACAACAAGCAATTTTCCTTCTACCAAGTCATGTGAATATTCTTTTCCAACTTATACAGCACCAGCCGGAGAAACTGATTTTGAGTTGCACTTCGCATCATTGGCCTCAGAATCTGATGAACATTCAGATTCGGACTCTGAAGAACCTCTCATTTTGTCAATGTCAGCTACATTCATGTCAGTTGTACTCTGGTCACTACTACAATCTTATTTTCTCTATTAGTTCCGGAGAAATTTGTAGTCTTATGTCTTGGTCGAGCTGGGGCTCCAATATCAATAGGCTGTCTAATTCAGGAATAAAACATTCATAACAGGATAACTCAACAAACCTATGTATCTCTTGAAAATTTTGTGTGAGGATTACCTTGTCATTTTCTAGTCTGAATTTGTATCAACTGCATAAGCAACCAATTTCTCGGAGGTTTCTTTGCAAGACAGATACACAATCTGAGTAGTGTTGTTTGTTATTTTTCAAATTTTTGAAAGCTAATATTCTCACTACGTTGACTTGATCCAGTTCAGGTATTCCGATTGTTTTTTCATTTTCACAGCGGAAAATACACCAATCTCCAATATGCAATACATCATCCCGAGATACATTATGATTTTCGTTGTGAATTCTAGTTTTAGATTTATTTTTCACTATAAATCTGCTAAGTCTATCGTTGCTCACTGTTTCCTTATTATCCAGTAGCCAACAGAGGCTTGATTTTCGTATAGTTTGTGAGCTTCCTGGGTTGTTTCTCAAACAGAGGAACGGGCCATTCTTCAAGTATTCAGGAGAGGAAACATCCAGATGGATATTCTTCAAATTGATCAATCCTCGATGTGAAACCGATAAGTCGCAAATATCAGTTATGGCGTCATCATCGATTGTAGCTTCGATTAGGTTATTTTCTACTTGACTGGACGAGTGTTCATCTTGAAATTCAACATTTTCATCGAACTTTGAGTTAGGTATAGAAACAAAATTCCAGGCTTCATCTATCACATCCATTTCCAATTCCTTTGCATCAGCAACAGCATTTTCGAGAGCAGATTCAATGACATTTCGAATATCATCATCGGATACTATCGACAAATCAACATATTCCTGTTCGATGTTATTCTTCTTTTGCTCTCTTGGAAAGATGAAAGAGTCGCTATTATCATTGATTATATCATTTATAGCTTTAATACGATTTATTCTCTCAATTATATCTTTTATGCTGAAATTTATCATCGTTGAAAACGTCAATGTCATTGATCTAGCTGTACGAAACAATTTTTCACAGCTCTGACTACCAAATAGTTCTGTTCGAAAAAGTTCAGGTTTATCTAAATCACGACAAATTTTAGTAATTTTCAACAATGAATGTGCATTTAATTCAAGACAAATGTAACAATTGAGAGATATGAAGTTTTCCTCCATAGAATACTCTTTGTTACCCATTATCCATTTTCTCCAAATTCTAACAAAAAATATTACAAACCAAATGTGATATATACGATCAAGAACAGGAACATTCAAGTCTAGAAATGCTTTTATCATAAAGCTCATTAGTTTCTAGTTCCCAGAGAATCGGGAATGTTTTTTAGGAGATCCATTACATCAGAAGAACACATTTTCGCAGCTGTTGCAAAGTTCATTTCATCTTCAGCTTGGATGTCAGAAAAACACAATAGGTGTTTATCTTCTGAATATTCTCATATCAAAATTTGAAGATGAGAAGATATTACCAAATATTTCCCAAGTGGTAAAACGACTGATGGTTTGAAAAGTCTTGTCCTCATTTTAGTGAGGATATGCGTGGGATCTTGCACATAGCAAGGATTATTTGCTCTAGAATCTACATGAAACCATGATCACTGCGATAAATATCTCCTATCTGGAGGAAGTGGTAGTTCAGATTCAATCCTCATAGTTTTGAAATACCGAGTATCGCCGTCACTAGAAAATCCCAATACAGTAACTCCTAGTTCGAAAAGACTTTGTTTGATAAAAGCCCAGCGCTGAGAGACATCCTCTGCTCTGAACTTATTATCTGTACAAAAAATTGAAAGGCAATAAGCCGGGGAATTCATCATCAACGGCTGTGCCATTATTACACAGGCATAGTGTGCTTTCGTTGCTTCATTGAAATATGACTGTATGATTTCGCCAGAAGTAGCGGTAAAGGTATTGATATCTGGTATACCATTAGATAATGGCAGTGAGAACCCCATTATTTTATTATTCCTCTGGTTGTATTCTATTTTTCCATTTATTCTGGTGCAATCTTCGGCTATCCATACATATTTTGCCAGCTTTCGTTCCTCAATAAATTTAGCCAATCCGTCAAAATCGAAATCACCTTCGCTAATATATTTTTTATCATTACGTACATATCTGTTCAGAGTGGTGATGGAAGGCACTACGTTTTTCAAATTGGCATGAATCGTTTCGTAGAAAACCCGGCCACCGATATAATACATATATAAAGCAAACTGTTTGATGGAGTAATTATATTTGTTTTTTGATGTTGATGAATTGGTTTTACAAATGTCACAAAGGATTTGTAAAAACTTGTTCATTTCCATTCCAGAACTATTTGGTTGTTGTACTAAATCTCTATTACACGATATCAAAATATTAAGGTATTCAACAGTTATATCTGGCTCATTTTTTATCAAATACTCTATCGTGTTTATGATCATTGGATAATAATCTGTTATCAGATGCTGATTCTCGTTTAGCTTTTCTCGCTTTCTACGAGATCTTTCTTTCCTTTGATACTTCTCCGACTTCCATTTCGAAATGCCATTTTCCCCAAAATCTTCAAACTCCTTTGAAATGGTAGGATCTTCTCGCAACCTATTATGAGTTGGGCTTATATTCTCCTTATCTGTTTCTGAATACGGATGAACAAAAATTCCATCTGTAGGAGATAATTCAAGCGATGACTTTGATTCATTTGTGGAGGTGGCAGAGATTGGTCCTCGGAGAAGCTCATCGCTGAGAATGCAGATATCTGGCTTTTCTCTTTCTGGAACTGCATCACTACATCTGTTTAGAAAAGTAACATTATCTTCATTGTCCGAAATTTTTGTGCTCCCTTCAATATCATCAATGATACTGATCTCAGAAGTGGAATCCTCCTTGAAAATGTCTTCGTTGGTTCTCCGTTTCTTTGATACTTGAACGTAATTCAGAAGTGTGTTAGATCTATTAAATTTTTTTGGTTCCAAACTCGGTTCCATATCATCATCTACAGAATCTGAAGCTTTTGTTTTACGAATGACCTTAGATCTTGATAAATTCGACAAATGTTTGTTCATCATATGCCGGTAAAAATTTCCAAGTATCCAACGTTTACGATATGTGTTCGACTGAGATTGTTTATAAACAGTAAATACGTTATCATTTTTGCAATAACAAGAAATCCTGCAGAAAACGCAAGCAGATGAGTCAGTCTGGAACGAAAATTTTATATTCTCTAATTTTTTACTGATAATAGCCCACTGACTGTCCGTGCATTTATTCCTCAACCAATTATGTAAGATATTCTTCACGGCTAATTCTTCTTTTTCTGTAGTAGACTCCAGCAACTCGTTACTGTTCTCTCCTGAATTTTCTTGTTTCTTCTGACTGATATTTTTTTTTTGAAGAGCTAACGAATCATTTGTTTCTTTTTCGATATTTTTCGAAATATTAATATCGCCTTTACTATACTTCTTATTGAAATATGTTTGTAATAGTTCGAGAATTTTTCGGTCTCCAATTGTGAATTGGAATATTTCTGGCTTGTGGGAAAAAATTCCGTAATAAAGAACAAGTTCTTCTTTTGGTAATACATATAGAAGGACTTCTCTCATGTATGTTTCCATTCCTTTAATATCGTCTGTGGTCAGACCTGCCAAAATTTTTCCGTCGAAGATACCATTGGCTTTCAGTACATTGATGAATGTATTCGGAATTTTAATATCCAATATTTTTCCGATTTCTTGCGATTCTAATTCGGATTCGTCCATCTAGAATGGAATTCATGCTCAATCTCAAAATTTCCCTATAAATCACGACAGTTTATTTTTTTATGAAATATACTAGATAACTCCAAAACTTCCGATATCAACTCGAGTGTGAACTAGAGCCCCATAGCGTTAAACGAGTATCGAATCCGGAACTCGATCAAAATTTTCGATGAAATACATCACGATTTTGCTATAGGTACCGGTTGTTTTACGGTGGATGGAAAATTAGAAGGACATCGAGAACCGCTGGGAGTATCTTCTTGAAATTTCAATGAAGGACAGCAGAATGTGATTGAACTTCCTGAAATATTTTCAAATGTGTGACATTGTCAGATGTACTTCAGAAAGTCAACGATATTGTTATATTTCAAAGAAATGTTTTTCTATGAATGCTCTTTAGTTTTTGAATGTTTCCTCCGGTTCCTCCTTCACCTCCGTATATTCACTTCCGAGATGAAATTTGATTTTCAAATTTCAATGGATAAATTCAAATTATATGTAAAATCCAGATTTTCTACAATGCAAATGAACATTGTTCTGAAATTCGCGTGGAGTAATATGTTCATGAACCACATACCACATCCAATTTTTCATATGAAGGATGACTAAGGAAGTAGTTCTCATTAGGTACTCTGTGGAAATAACAGGAACTCAATTTTTCAAATAGAGTTTATGTACCTCAAATTATCGATTATTCGAAGAGTTGAGATAATTACGAATCATATGCTAGACAGTGTTCATTGAAACGTCGATTAAAACCAACTGAGAAATTAGGCATTCAGAAAATCTAACCCTAAACAAGGTGCTTCTCACAAAATAATAAGATTTGCCTATTCGAAGTACAGCTGGCAATGTCACATTTTGTTACGTCCAACTCTAGGATTCTGGAAGGATCCCTCTAGAGATTTTCAAGATACTTCCGATTTCTCATTCAAAGTTAAATACCAGTACCAATTTCAATAACTCCTCACATTTATTGTAACCTACACGAATTCACAAAAAAATGCTTTATAATTACGAATTACAATGGTCTCTGATTATAATGATTATTATTAATATTAGCATTACAAAGATGAGGGAGCAGGAGTTAACATCATATTTGTACCGATATCCCCTCTTCAAATCTACCATAGTTGAATTCGTGATGGTAAAATCTGAGGTAAAATCCGAATACCATTCAAAACAGTTTAGAATACTATACTTAATATCAGATTTCGATGAACTGTCTGAAAATCATTATTATGACCTTGAAAATGTACTCGAATGGAACATATAGGTACTATGAGAATACTTCAATCGCAATATACCACTGATAATGGAATGAAATATTGCGACTGATCAATTGGCCCCTTTATTCATGAAGTTGAGTACACTCATCCTCCATAATGAACCACAGCTTCTTATTTCCTCATTCTCATTTTAGAATACTAATAATGAATGGGGCAAAGACGTGGCTCGTATCCAAACAATATCTGATGTGTTTTCATATCACTGTGTTATACAGGGTCCCGCTGATTTAATAGAGACAGTATTACTATTTCCTAAACGATAAGAAATAGACAATTTTTAAAACGAATGAAGATGAAATATTTCTAATGATTCCAACTTAATTTTCTCAGTTGATCACCTGTTCATGCTGTATTTAAAAATGTTTCTCTGTATAAATTGAGAGAATTAAAAAGGATAAAAGAATAAGAATTTTATTGTTTTCAAAATATATCCCCATGAAATCGGCGGGACCCTGTATTATTGAAAAATCAAATGCCACTCGAATGTTCAAAGTGATACCTTGAATTCCAGGATAATAAGAATAGTGATGAGCAGCTTATACAGATATTTGGTGAGCAGTTTATATCGAAACGGCAACGTTACTAGGTTGGTATTCCTTATCTCGCGCGCTTGCGCATATCGCTCAAAATGAATAAACTTCGCACTATCCAGTGAGAGATGAGCGATGATGTATTGATGTACTTAATAATTGCTCGATTGGTTACCATTACATATTACATCATTGAAGGATCATCGTATTTGCCTACCCGTTTTATATTTGATCTGAACAATTATATAACACTCCTTTTTTCTTAATCTATATCTAGTGAATTTCTACGAATCATTCCAGATTTATTGATACTCACATTGAACAATGATTCAAATACACACAAACCAACATGGACGCAAATGTTTTCGAGGTTATTTTGTGATGAGTGATTTTCAGTTTTGTTCACACACCTAAATTTTGTGTAACAGATTTTGCTCGAGATTTTGTATGAATAAAGTGATAGATTTGAATCAAAAAGCAATAGAACTGTAAATTGTCAACGAACTCGTTTTATCATATCGTACTCAAAACAATTAAATCAGGTGATACCATATTAACCAATAAATTTGAAATTGCAGAAACCTTTAATAATTATTTCACGGACATTAGCGCGAATCTCGCTGCAAAAATTAACAAACCTAAACAGGTCTAGACAATATTGGTGCAGATACAATAAAGAATTGTGTTGAATTTCTTGTAGGGTCCATCACGTACATTGTTAATCAACTTCTAATAACTGGTGTTTTCCCAAAACCATTGAAATTAGCTGTCATCAAACCATTATTCAAAGCTGGAGACAAACTGGCTGTATCGAACTATAGACCGATATCACTTCTTTCAAATATTAGTAAGACAATAGAAAAAATCATAAAAATCAGAATTACCGATTTTGTACAGAAATACAAATTGATTTCAGATCACCAGTATGGTTTTGTAGCACAAAGATCAACCCAAGATGCAATTGTAGATCTTACGGGTAAAGTCTACACGGCTTTAGATAGAGAACAATGTGTTAAGATTGAAGATACCATCAGCAATTAAAAAAAAGTACGTTATGGAGTTCCTCAGGGAACAGTTTTAGGGCCAATCCTTTTTATAATTTATGTTAATTCTTTATTCAACCTTCCAATTCCGGGTGAGATCACTAGCTTTGCTGACGACAGCCATATTTTTCAAGGATAACAATTGGATTGATCTGAAATAAAAAATTAATGATTCCATACCCGTTATCTTGGATTTCTACAACAGTGACTTGTTAACTATCAATTTGAAAAAGACAGTGTTCTTACCATTTACGAGCTATGAAACAAATTTACCAAATTTTACAACAATCAGCACCATTTATAATAGCCAACCCATTGAAATATCTAGCACAAAAACAGTCAAATATCTGGGAATCACTTTGGACAGCCATATGAAATGGGACAAGCATATTAGTAACGTAACACAAAAACTTCGCTACTACTTGTCGAAATTCAGATATTTCAAAAACATTTTTGACATAATTCATTTAAAAATAATGTACTATGCACTCGTACAGACCCATCTTCTTTATGGCATTGTGGCCTGGGGAGGCGTGACTAACACACATTTAAAAAAACTTGAAATTATGCAAAAATGGATACTTAAGATGATATTCAAGAAACCATACACCTACCCAAGCGACATGCTTTATGAAGAATCTGGGTTATTAGATATTCGTCAAACATTTCTTTTTACCATCATAATACAAAAGAGGAAAAACTTGATTACCAGTCAGCATATCCAACATAATCATAATACTAGGTCCAAAGAGAACACATTAGTGGTACCTAATATGTCAAAAACTATTGGACAGAGGAGTTACATTTATTTAGCCCCTAAAACATATAATATAATTCCCCCCCAACTGAAATTATTGAATTCAATGAAACTTTTCAAAACCCAAGTGAAAAAGTGGATAATGGGTATGCCTAGAAGTGAAACACAACGCATAATCGATCTTGAAAATAATTAAGTTTGTTGTTGATATTCTGATACCGTTTCATGGTTACCTGTTAGGTCTGATTTAGATTTAATGTAGTTTGTAGTAAGTTATTAAATAAAATATAGAAATTCGTCATATAATAATTATTGAATGAGTGTGACTGAGTGAATAAATTCTCATCAATATGTGATAGCTAAAGATCTTGCATAACCGTAACGACACAAGAGTGATTGTAAATTTATTTTGAGCGATCCACGCGCGGGTTTTCCCTTGTGGACTTACTTGTTATACGACGCTATACATAGTGGAGTATACTACGGCCGTGCCAAAAATGCTATCTCGGAAACTAAGCGAGATAGAGGTATAGTTGCTTTGGAGAAAATGATCCCCATCGAATTTTGAGCAACTTTGGTTTTTGTGTGTGGTCTGTCTGTCTGTCTGTACTCTGTGTTAATCATAAATCGATATATCTCCGGAACCCTTCGACATATCGACTTGAAATTTTGCCATCTTATTGTACTCAAAACAATATTATGTCATTAAAATATGAAGGAAATCGGAAAACTCTAAGGTGGTTTTTCCGGGTTTTTTCGATTTTTCACCGGAAGTTCCTTGTAATCACTCTACAAATCGCAAAAGTGGTCCGATCGATTTCATTTTTTGTGAAAAAAACCTCTATCAGGAAGAGACGAAGCCTATTGAAATTGAGCAGGGTCGGAAAATTCCAAGTGGGTTTTTCAAGGAGATTTTCCGAAAAACACGGTTCGCTTTAAAACGACATATCTCGTGAACAAATAGACTAAATCCAAATTTGAGAAATGCACCGTATGCCTCTTTGATGACGCAACAAATTATCATTTAATCATTTTTTCGTGCATCCATCGGAAAATGGAAAAACAAATGAAAATCAAAACATCAAAATTTGAAATCCTTTCAATTCAATATATATCGAAAACAAATGGAAAAATCGAAAATTATCAGATGTGCAAAGTTATCCACTGGAACATTTCCTACAAATTATTTCCCATAATTTTTTCTGTAAACCCAATAGTACAGGAAATAAAGTGAAAAATATGAAAAAAAAAATTTAACGATCCATAGGGTACTATGGAGATATATTGAAAAACAAAGATTATCGATGGATGGAGCTCATCGACTTCCACTGAACCATGAAATATTTTTTCATTTTGTTGATTGGAAGATGGAACAAAAGTG